TTGAGAATGATGAGGGCAATGAATGTACAAATGTGCTTTGCACAATTGATGTATGTATGGATTGTGATAAGAGTTGTATGAGTCCCTAATAAAATGATTTAAAAAAAAAGAATGGCCATACCAATCTATTTCATTAAAAAAAAAAGTTTAATTCAGCTGACAACTTTAATCTTGTGCCTTACACAAGCCACTAGAAGTGCAGTAACATGTCTTCTGGCTTTCATCCTCCAGCATAATGCCTGTTGCTGAAATCTGTGTTTATGTCTACCTAATTAATGCCCGTGGCTGAAAAAAAGGAGCGCAAATCGTTATAGGGCAAACCTCATCTAAAAATCTTGCAAAACCAGCACAACTGCTATTAGTTCAGTTCCTGCCGTGAAAGGAAATTTTGTCTATTTATAAAGAACAATGTTCATTAGTTAGTAAAAAATTTTCAAAGGAAATAAAAAATACTCATGTGCACTAAGTACTTATTATTTTGCACTTAATAGGCTTTAAAATATCTATCTTACATTTATTTCGTCTGTTATAAGTGTAAGGCGTCCCTAATCCAATTTTATATTCTCCCAAAGTTAATATTGGTGGTTCATCAGAAATCATGAGTGGTTTTTTAGGTAAAGGGCATGTCTAAAACCTAGAGTGGTGTGAACATGCCTATGACAGAGTTTGATGACATCATCAAGAGATTTTAGATCTCGGAAAGTAATAAAAAGCACCTTTCAAGAATTGAGAGCTCTTGTATCATCAGCTTAGGTATTCAGTTGACTAAGATGCTATCTTATGTCATAATTTTAGTTTGCGCTGATAAAGTGTCATAACAATTAGATGTTTAACATCTTCTGCCCAAATGGCCAAATAGATAAATAGTTCCCAAGCATATCTTAAAAAAAAATGTGACATTTGTGTTTAAAAATGTCACAATGCAAAGTTATATTCCCCAGAGAGCACAGCAAGGGCCCTTATCCCATCTTTCTTGCACTACTTCTGTAGTCTCACTACATGCCTGAAGAAGCAACAATTCCAGGGCAGAAAACTATGGCAGGTAAGAGCTCTGACCTGAAAATCAGAGATTCTGGTTTAAATCCTGGCTCTGCCAATTGGCATCTATGTGACTTGGAATAAGTAAAGGAACCTACTTTTATCTTGTAATAAAACAATACTAATAAACTACCTGATATGTTTGTTATGATAATTAAAGGAGATAAACATACATGATGTGGTTAGCATAGGCCTGTCACAGGATTTACACCCTAACTACAACATTGATGATGCTCAAGTTCCTTCACTGGGTGCTTTGGACAATAAAGCCAAAACAGAGTTATTGGTTGGTCTTCCAGTTCAAAAATTAATGAGCTATTTGTTCCCGTAAAGATTTACAGCCTCAGAAACCCTACAGAGGGAGAGGGTCGAGATGAGTGGGAATTGTCTTGTGATAGCAGTGGGTCTTGGGGTTTGTTGGTTGACATTTGTACTGCCTGTGATTCATGTGTTGTAAAATAAAAGTTTTACACTTATTTGAAGGCCCAGTTGAAAGTGAGATATGACAAAAACATTCTGCTAAGAAATTAGTGAACATTTACTAAAAATGCAAAACAAATCAGCAAACAAAAAGCATTATGTCTCCTACCATGGTCAGTACACTGATTTCTGACGTCTTCTATGCTTTCTACTTTGATGGCTTCTTGAAGAAAAACGTAACAACTGTCTTGAAATTGAACCCAGGTGGATGAAGGACAGTCTATGTAGAAAAAGGGAAACACTGTTAAACAACTTGAGAAAAACAATTTCATAAATTCCCCAAAATTACAAATATTGAATATTAAAATTTCACAGTAGCAAAACAATGGCACATTTCCTTGCTAATTTAGAGACAAGGCTCTCAGGCTTTGTTAAGTAAGGAATCCATTTGTATAACAGGAATCCTCCTCCCCCACCCCATAATACATGTAGGAGAAAAGAAATGTGCCTACGATTCTCTTTTGATTTGACCAAACAAAATCATAATTATTCAGGTTGTTTAAAAAGTCAAACATATGCATTACAACATTATTGCCAGGGCAACAACTATTCAGAAAAACAATCAAAATTACAGGCTTTTCTTTGAAGGTTGTCTTCACCATACATAGTGGTATTTTGAAAATCCTAAGGGTTTTACAAGATCCTTTTGCTTGAATTATACTGATTCACAGATTTGCATCACTAGAGAAGAGTACAAACTGCTGGATTCTGAATATCATGTCCTCATATTGAACAGGAAAACGAGGGATGTTGCGGTAGGTGCATCATCTCGTGTCAACATGAGGGTATTCAGGGTGAAGGGGTGGAGTGCAGCCTGTCAATCAAGTTGCAGCTGGCTTGGAGGGCAGCTGCAATAAGTGGCTTTCTGGAGGCTGGCCTCCCTCTCTCTATGCCTGCATCTCCCGGTTGACAAGCCACGTGGAGACTTGCTGAGACCTGCGAGAGCCCACTCTGTTTTCACCTTGTAGACAAGACGCATCGAGCCGTGCCGAGACCTGCAGGAGCCTCAGAGACGCTTTCACCACCACTGGATCCATAAGACTGCACCCACTGACCTGCCATCCTCCTGAATTTCGCATCACTGCATATGCTGCATGAGTCTGAAGAGAGCTTTATGGACTTAGGGACCTGATCTGAACTGAGTTGTGATGTTTTCTTAATACACTGTTATTCTTTGATATAAAGCTCTTTTTTATACATATTTGAATGTCTCTGGATTTGTTTCTCTAGTCAACCTGGTCTAGCACAATAATTTTATGAGTGTGCTTAATTTAACATCTCATAAAAGTAGATTCTTTGAACTACTTTTATGAAACAGAACTCTATCTCTCCTTCTATTGCTGTAAGGTAGAGGGGTCCCTCTTTCATCTCACTGTTGGTGCCTTTTCATGTTACATGGAGATATGCATTGTTAGGACCAAGCACAAGCATTTTATTAAAGCATAGCCAAATGCTGCCTGTAATGAACTGGAAAGATTAGCTAGGAACCTTAGGGGACAATGAAATGTGGACGGGGTGGGGGAGTTGGGTGAGAACAGCTCAGAAAAAGGCAGTGCGAATGGTTATACCACTTGAAGACTGTAGTCCACGTCCTAAACTGGCACTTGTAAGAGCTGCTAAATTGGTATATGCTTTGTTGTATCTACTCTCAATCATAGGAACATGCTATAATTTTAGAAAAGAAACGACAGACATGCCTGTAAGACTTGATTTCACTGGCCTACATGGAGAAAGGTGGGCAGGCTTTTACTTAATCCCAGTGACTAGAAGAACACAATCTAATTCTCTTCTGGGTTTATGTAGTTCAAAAACAAAACAAAAAAAAAACGTCAGTGGTCTTGAGTTAACTTATGCAAATTAAGGTACATTCATGTTCTGGGACATTTCTAGATAAATTGTTTTATAATTTGCAACCTCTTGGTGTATTACAATTTTAATGTAAACAGAAGCCTGATGACAAAGATCAGAATTCTCCAATCCAGTGTTAATCTACATGAAGTCAACATCCTGGTTGACCACACTCAGAATAAGGCACAGACCGCCCCACTTGTGCCCACGCCAGACATCAGCTTCTTATGTAACACGGAGCACATTGCCATCCAGCTCGACCGTTTCCCAGCCTCTGACTGCTTCTGGATAGTTGGATGGAAACCAGCGAAAAGCCCAAGGACAGGAAGGTGTGTGCTCCTCCTCCATTTCTCTGGTCCCACTGGCTAAATGTACATGTGGCAGTTAGCCATGAGTAGTCATGTCATGTGGCCAATTGAAAGAAACACTCTAAGAATGGGCGAGATGGGTGAATCCCAGGTGAAGCCATCCTACAGGCCTGGAGTGTGAGAAGAGAGAAAAATAAGACTTTATCTTCTTATTTTAATATAGCGATAACCACAGGTGTAGAGGATAAGATTTATAACACATCACCAGATGGAGGGCTATGGCTAGAAGGGCCATAGTAACTGATTAACTACAACACAGGTAGTTACTGCCAAATCCTTCTCAAACGTAGTTACATGTATCAAAAGCAAATAGCTTTTTTCATCTCCAGTTTGAATATCTTTTAATTGGTATACTACCCTTAACATTTAATGTAATTACTTATATAGTTGAGTTTATAACTACTATCTTACTTTTTATTTCATATCTGTCCTTTTTATGTTGTTTTTCTCCTTTATGTCAACTTTTGCATTCATTATTGCTTTTATATTCCATTTTTCCTTTCTTTGTAATTGCTGATTATATATATATATTCTGTAATGGTTATCTTTAAAAGCTTAATATAAAACCTTGATTTATTAGAACCTAATAGATATTAGGAGTCCTGGTGGCACATGAGTTAAGTGCTGGGTTGCGAACCAGAAAGTCAGCAGCATGAACCTAACAGCCCCGCCACTCTGTGGGAGAAAGATGAGGCAGTCTGCTTCCACAAATATTTACAGCCTTGAAAATTCTATGCGCAGTTCTCTTTTACCCTATCAGGTCACGGTGATTTAGAACCAGCTAGATGGCGATGGGTTTGGGAGTTTCTAGGAATATAAATGAGTACTTATACAAGTTTCTGGGCAATGCTAGAATCTTATCGTATCAACCTCACTGACCTCCATTTATTTGTGTGGTTTTTTTTTTTTATATTACGTTTTGCTGAATCACTGTTAGTCTCAGCTTGAGTTCTCTAGAAAACCAAAGTCAGTGGGGTTTTTTGATATTTTTTGTGTGTGTGTGAGAGAGAGAATTTATATCAAGAAAATGGCTCACAAAGTTTTAGAAGCAGGGAAATTCAAGTCCAGGCAGGTTCCAAGTACGTAGGTCAAATATTAAGCTGGTGGCTTCTCCTGACTTGCGTAGCTTCAGGGATCCCAGATTGGCAGGAAATCCACATGCTGGTGGCAATCGAGAATGATGAATCCAAGGTTGGCAGGTGAGAGTAGGCCTTTGATAACTCTCAGGATGTGGAGGCAATATGCAGGGAGTTGGCTCAAGTCCAAAGAGCCTAAAGTCAACGAGCCAGATGCAGGAGTCAGACTCATCAAAAGTCAAAGCAAGATTTTCCAGTGTCCACTTATATTGGAAGTAGGCCACACTACTAAGGCAATTAATTGCCTTAAAATTATTTCATGATGGAAACTTACAACTGATTAGTAGTGGTTACTTTGTGTTAGAGCCGGTCATGGGAATTACTAGGTGTTAACTAGTTAACTAGGTGTTAACTAGTAACTGGTACAGCCACACTGACACAGTATCTTAACATAGGGTTCTTTTAGATTTAAACACATTTACTTTTTTCATGTGTTTATTCCACATTATTCCCTCTTGAATGCCTGTGTTACTAACTGGGATGATTTTCTATTTGTCTGAAGAAATCCCCTTGATTTTAGTGCAGGTTACCGGGCATTTCTGTCCACTTTTGCTGTTCTGTAAAAGGCTGTTTATTGTGTTTATTTTTAAAATCACTTAATTAGGGGCTCATGCAACTCTTATCACAATCCATACATATATCAATTGTGTAGAGCACATTTGTATATTCATTGCCCTCATCATTCTCAAAACATTTGCTCCCCACTTAAGTCCCTGGCATCAGCTCCTCATTTTTTTCCCCTCCCTCCCGGCTCCCCCTCCCTCATGAGCCCTTGACAATTTATAAATTATTATTTTGTCATATCTTGCCCTGTCCGACATCTCCCTTTACCCACATTTCTGTTGTCCGCCCCCAGGGAGGAGGTCACATGTAGATCCTTGTAATCCACTCCCCCTTTCCAACCCACTCTCCCTCTACACTCCCAGTATCGCCACTCACACCACTGGTCCTGAAGGGATCATCCGCCCTGGATTCCCTGTGTTTCCGGTTCCTATCTGTACCAGTGTACATCCTCTGGTCTGGCTAGTAGGGGCAGGGAGGAAGCATTTAGGAACTATAGGAAAGTTGTATTTTTCATCATTGCTACATAGCACCCTGTCTGGCTCGTCTCCTCCCCGAGACCCCTCTGCAAGGGGATCTCCAGTGGCCTAAAAATGGTTCTTTGGGTATTTTTATGGATATTTTAATTCACAAAGAATTCTAGAATGGTAGCTTCTCTTTAAAATGTGATTTCATTGTTTCAGTTTTTATCATTTCTGTTGAGAGTTGTTATTACTCTCATTGTGCTCTTCCTTAAAGAAAATGTGATTTCTGTTGTTGAGAATAGGCACAGCAAAACATGTTTCCCTCGTCATGTCTGCCGTCCGTCTCTCCGAACGCAGGGCCGCACCTGGTAATTAACTACCGGCGTCATGCTCAGGGCGCTCCCCCTCAGCGAGTTGTTTTGTGAAAGACTTCTGGGAATATTTGTTGTGGAAGGCGTAAGGTTTACAAATTATCCCCAAAGCAATCATTTTAAGGGTTTATCCACTCTCCATGGTCCTAAAAAGTCTGGATTCCCTGAGATTTTGGAATGTTGTGCTGTATTTCTCCTCTTTTGATCAGGCAATTAATGATCTTTTCTACATATTCTTTGATAAAATGTCCAGTCATAGTAGCCAGTCCTGGTATCATGGGAAAGGATGTAGCTGTTTCTGGAAGCAATTAGCCACACATTCCATGTGGTTGCTGCTATTAGGTGCCCTTGAATCAGTTCTGTCTGGGCCTGTAAAAGTGTGCAATTAGTCTGTGTTCTTATGTGGTGGTACTATTGTTGTGCCAATATATTATTGTTTTGTGCTGCCTTGTCAATTCAGACTCACAGCAATCCTGTTTTTGTTAGGTGCTGG